GGATGTGGTGCAAATGCACCACCACTGTTGTATTTGGGAGATCCATGAAGAACCCAAGTGGTCATTAGGTATTCATCTTATTCTTGTTCACCATGGAAAGTTCTTGAAGAAGCCTCTTTCACCTCCATAACAACAATCTACCAAGGGTGCCACTGTGACCAATTTGCACCACCCAACAAGAATGATGCCATTGTGATTGCCATTGTAGTGTCTCCTAATGGGTTGCTGGTTTTGGTGTGGTTCTGCATTGTGGAGAGCCAGCCCCAACAAGTTTACACACCCACTGTTCAAGAATCATTCCATGGTGGTGATTATGGTGGGTTGGTTTGGTTCTAACTTGTGGGGGGGGGGGGGCCAACCCCAACACATCCACTTTTCACCAACAACTGCCTGCAATAGCTGCAAGGGGCTCAGGGTGCCCCAGGCCCAGGCAAGAGGCCATGGGCAAAAAAACACTGGGTGTACCTGGGAAGCGATCACTACCAAGTGATTACAGGCATCCATTTCCACAGCAGGGTGGGAATAGAGTGCCTCAATGGGCCTATCAAGCTCCTCCCCCTCCAGATTTCTGGCACCAGCAGCAGCAGCTTAGCTTGTATCCTGAGATGGTATGTTGTTGAAACTCTGTATGGTTGTAGCCATTGCTATTGCTGTTATGAATCATTGTGTAGCTCTGTTGCAGTTGCCTGGATATGCATTTAGGCAGAGCTTGGGTGGCCCTGCTTCAGCTTCAGCAGGATCCTATGGCCCTGGCCAGGGACAGATGATTCCATATGATGATGGGCCTGAGGAGCTAGAGGAAGAGGAATCAGATTCCTCTTCTCCTGATGTGACATTTGTCTGCCATTATTGGTGCAAGCTCACAGAGTACATGGTTTCATTTCCAATTGCAATGAACAAATCTAAGGAAGAAAAAGAAGAAGGAGAAGGACAAAAAGAAGGGTAAGAAAAGTAAGAAAGCCAAGAAAAGAAAGCGTTCCTTTCTTGTGATATTTGGACAGCTGTGCAACTACAAGTTTGTGGAATTTGTTGTGCCTTTGCTGTGCTACATAAATCTGACCTTGGCTGTTGCTGGGTGAAACCAGGTTCCACATCCTCTGGCAAGAGTGACAACAGCAGTGATGATGTTGGCCTCTCAAATGAGCAAATCAATGCAATGGCTTTGTCAGTGCACCCTGGTACTGGTATTGTCTTGTGGGTGTGTGTAAGTGTGAAGCAAACTACTGCATATGTGTTGCACATTCACTTTGGGACGCATGAGTGGCAAGCAGGAATGGATCTAAGGCATTGGACATACCTGGGACCAGACTTCAAGGAATCTGATGAGGCTGATTCAGGAAAGAGGAAAAACAGAAAGAAACTAGGTGTGGTTTCATATGATGGGTGTGAGTTTGAATGTTGTTTTGACTACTACTGAAACTTGATGATATAGTTTGGATGCAGTTTGTGACCCAAGGAATTGCCTCCCCAGGAGGGAGAAGATGAGGCAGCTGCAGCATTTTGACAACCACAAATTCCACACTAGCCACTCTGACTGGATGCAAACAGTAATGTAATGACTATGACTATGTTTGTTCCACTTGCATGCCAGAGCAGTTTGCATACCAGTTGCAAGGCACCAGTTTTGTTTGTTGTCTCAATTTCCTGGTTTGGGTGTCAGTGTCACTGTCTGTGAGGTGTTACAAGTGGCCTGGCAGATCTCCACCTTGAGCAGCTATGCTTCATGTGCACTGGCCTAGGGCCAAGAACCAGGGTGAAGGAATTGGTTGGATGCAGGAACAGGGGAGACCTGTCATTTGGCTCCTGAACATTGGTCATCATTTTGTTGCAAGTTGTTGTGAATTGTGGTTGGGAGGTTTGTGATGGGTGTGGGGCTTTTGGAACTCAGGCTGCGATGCCTGAAAGAGAGCTATGACAGGAGAATGAAGATGAGTGAAGGGGAGTTGCTGAAGGCTTTGAAGGCCACTGCATGCCCAGTCCAATGTCATGTCACTGTAAAAAGCTTGCACTTTTTTAACCAGCAAGTCTCACCTTACACCCATCAGCCTGCAGCTGTGAGTTGGCATTCCCACCAGGATGACTTTGAGAATGTGGAGATTCTTGCTGCTCAGATGGGCTGGAAGCACCAGCTGGACAAGGACAAAAGAAGGAAAGGTGGTCAGCAAGCTCAGCAACCTGAGATTGACCATGCGCAGAAACCACCCTATGTGGCCAAGAGGGTGTAGCTTGGCAAATGTTCATGCAATGTGAAATGGCCAGAGGAAAGCAAGCCAGAAAGTAGTGTGCATGGAACTTTGCTAGTTGGAATGGGAAGGGGGGTACATTGAGGTCAGATGGAACCATGGTGGTGGAGAATGCAGATGGAGAGGTGCACAAGGTCTCCCTGGGCCAGGTGCCAGTGGCTATGGTGTACAGGGATGGCAAGTACATGCTGAAACTGCCACAGACACCATTGAGCTGTGAGTTACTTGGCAAGATGTTTGGGGGTGTTGTCCAGTTTGCTAGGCTTTGGTTTTGTGGTCAATAATGTATGCATGGTGGAGACAGCAAACAATGCATGTCCTGGCCCAGGGTGACCATGAGCTTGGACCAGCTGTTCACTTCACCCACAGGTGTTCATGACTGGTTTGGCAAGATTGCACCTGGGCATCATGCAAGCTGAGGTAGATGGTGGCTGTGTTTGAGTCTTGTGCTTTCAGGCTTCAGGCTTCAGGCTTCAGGCATGTGACTTTCACCAAATCTTTGTAAGGCAGAGAATGCATTGGTCAACCATGAGCAGAAGTGGGCAGCTACCTACATCAGGACATGCCAAGGCACATTTCTTGGGGGTGCAATTCATTTGTTTAAGAATGTTTGCTTCAGTGGTGAGCTGTGCTTGGAGGCATGGGAGACCATTGGATGGCATTGCAAATTTCAAACCTGATGAAGCAACTGCCCAACAAGCCAGAGCTGATGATGCATGGTGGAGGAGTAGCTTATGGTTTGAAATGCAGAAGTTCATTTGTGTGGATGGATATGGTTTGTGCTTTTGTTGACCCACCTCACCAAACATTCAATGTCATGGGGGAGGTGACAGCACTACAGCACCATCTTCAGCCAATAATGATCAGCTGTCAGTTTCCAGCAGGGCTTCAGGGATGGAGGTGTGGGCAGCAAAAAAGAATATTTGCAGAACAGTGTTTGTGCTTGTTGTGGGGGAGCCAGATGTGTGGGAATTTCTCTTGCGCAGTCTTCTCCTGGGCAGCAGCCCACAGTGCAGCAGTATCTGGTGCCAGGACTGTTTTATTGAGTGAAAGGTATGTGTGTGTGAGCACCATTTGCAAAGCATACTTGTCCTATACCTGTAGTACACATTTGATTGAGGAGGGGAATCTGTCCAGATGCCAACACCCAAGCAACTGCAAATCACATCAATGTTTCATGGGCAGCCAAGACACCACCCCCTGCCCCCCCACTGCCAAAGGCGTGGTGCAGTCAGCAGTTGACATTGCAAAACAGCACCCCTTCTTCAGTGCATTCCTAGAGCAGGATGTTGGAAGGATGTGGGGGTTTGGGGATGAGCACCAGGGTAACAGCCTCAAAGACATCATAGACTTCAGCCAGTATGTGGCAAGGCATGGTGGGAGGGTGGGCTATGATGTGCAAGCCATCAGCAAAGCTGTAGAGGATGCACAGCACCATCCACACCAAAGCCAATCACAAGGAGCACAGCAACAACAACCATCATGGCCACATCAAGGACAACCTCAGGGAATGGGGGCTGGAGGGATTGTGCATGGGCAACAGCCACAACCAACACAGCCAGGGTGGCCACAAAGCCAAAACAATTTGCAACAGCAGCAAATGCATTTTCCAGGCCAAGGGCCAGGTCAGTGGCAACAAAGCCAAGCCAGTGGGCAACTGCAGCAAGTGCACATTCCAGCTGGGCAGCCAGCACAGCAAGTGCCAGGTCAGTGGGCGCAGAGCCAACCAAATGGGCAACAGCAGCAACCCCCTCTTCCAGGCCAAGGGCCAGGCAACCTTGGAGCTGGGCAGCAACAGCAAGTGCCAAGTCACAACCAGCAAGTGCAAGGTAACATGGCAGCCTGCCAGCAGCAAAGGCAACAACAACCACTGCCTCCACCATCCCCATATCAATACAACTTTCAAATTTGGGATGCAGCTTCCCTTGCAGTGAGGCCTGGTGAGGAGGAAACAAGGCAGAAGGCTCAACAAGGCAACAGGGGAGCTGGGCAACAACAAGTGCCAGGACAGGGGCCAGGACACCAAGGCAATGGGCAACTGCAACAGCAGCAAGTGCCTCCTCCAGGCCAAGGGCAAGGCACCATGGGAGCTGGGCAACAACAAGTGCCAGGTCAGGGGCAAGGATACCAAGGCCATGGGCAACTGCAGCAAGTGCCTCTTCCAGGCCAAGGGCAAGGCCAACAACAAGTGC